CCCCAAAACCCCAAAACCCCAAAACCCCAAAACCCCATGGAGCATAATTTCTTATTGAATTAAGAGATGATATTTACTAAGTGCATTAATAGTATAATTAATTAAGAGCCGTAAAATAATCAATATATTTATAATAAAATAGATCGATGGAGAACATTCTTTAGAGAAGAAGACTCTTAACCCAACTAGCCTATCAGACTAGAAGATACTTCCATGAAGGTAGATTAGTCAACATTAACAGATTAATGCAAAAGCAACCACTCAATCTTACTCAATATATGTTCCTCAATGGATAATCAAGAAATACAACTATGCTGAATGTTCATTCCAGAGCTTTTACTTAAAAGACAGAAAAGCAAGCTGAACCTGCAGCTGCCAAGAAAGAAGAGACAAGCTCAACAGCAGAGTAGATTAAGAAGGAAGTTAGGGAAGAGAATAAGAAAGCTGAGGCAGGTTCATAATAAAAATAATAAGATAAGTCAAAGAAGGCTTAAGATGATTCATCTAGCAGCAGTAGTGATGAAGAGGCTGCTGATAAGCTTTCTAGAGAGGATGTCAAGGCAATAAAGAAGCTAATCTCAGAGCAAGAGACTGAGATTGAGACCCTTAAAGCGCAAGTTAAGTCATTCAAAGAAAAGCTTGTTTATTAACTAGCAGAAAATGATAATACTATCAAAAGATATTAAAAAGAGATCAATCAGACTAAGGAATTTGCCATTACAAAATTCGCTAAGGATCTTTTAGATGTTAGAGACAACTTGCAACTAGCTAGCGACCACATTAAGAAACTTAACTTAGAGGAGATTACCGATATTAAGGAGTTAAAGGGTCACTTTGAGCAGTAATAAAAGGGTATGGTCATGACAAGCTCAGTTATGGACAACACTCTAAAGAGATTCGGAGTGATTTAATTCGACCCTAAGGGCGAGAAGTTCGACCCTAATCTTCACGAAGCTGTTTTTACCATTCCAGACCCAACTAAGGAGGCAAACACAGTTGCTGAAGTTATGCAAAGTGGATGGAAAATCGGAGACCGTGTACTTAGAGCTGCCAAGGTCGGTATTGTAAAGAAATGATCACTTATGCCATCTAATTCATATAAATTTTTATTTATTTAATGGCTAAAATTAATAAGTACCTCTTAACACGCTAAAATTAGAGAATCACGGGGTTTTGGGGTTTTGGGGTTTTGGGG